CTTACAATGGAGTGTCACTGGCATTGTTTAGTAAATATCAAAACCATGTGACTGGTTGGTTAGGCTCCCAGACAGATGAGTAATATTGTTGACTTTCGGGGTCATGTGATCTGTTGCAGCTACTCAAGTCTATGTTGTACCAGAGGCACCATAGGTAGTATGCAAATAAATGGTATAGTTGTGCTCCAGTAAAACTTTATTTACAAAAATAGCAGTGGCTGAATTTGACACATGATATATAGTTTGCTAATCCATGACCTAATGAAGGAAAATTAATTTTAAGCCAAGGCAACAATAGAAATTCAGTGAATAAGGAATAAAGAAAATACTATAAGTCACTCTGTTTTGATTGAATGGTTTCTGTTCTAGTTTCTGTCCTCTCGTCTCCCCTACCTTTCTCCAGCGCTCTCTCTCTCTCTCTGGAATTTGATTTTTGTAATTCCTGTTCAGGATTATTTATGATGATTCTGCACAAATTGTACTTTCAAATGACATATGACTTGAATTGTAATGTCTCTGAGTACCATTTCTTAATGATGCCATTTCTGTTAGAGGTAATAATTTGGCTAATTTCTTATTAACAATGGGCTGGACAATAGAGACAACTGCATTACAACTGTATGGCTTTATAAATTATTCTTCCTGAAATTTGGTGTTTAGTCGCCTTTCAGTTTTGCCTTTTAATTAAAGAATACTTTGAGCTGAGTTTGAATCTATAAAATTTCAATAAGTGGGGTATTTTTTCAAAGTTTAATTTCAAAAGAGTTAAGAAACTTGCTCAACTTCGTAATTTTTGCCCTGTCCTGATATTCGTTTAATTGGTTCTGCTAATGTGAATGCCCTTTCAAATATGAAAAAATAAAGCAAGAGGGTAAAGTTGATTATTTCTGTAATTGGATTTTCTCTTGAATAAAATGATTTCACCTACTTTATCTTTCTGACTTGAGGGACAGGGGTGGGGGCCCAGTTTCCTTTCATGTTGTAGTCAGCAGCAAGCCAAAGAAGGTGTGATGTGTACCGACATGGCGGGATGGGGGACTGGATGGGGGAGTAATTAATTACTGATGCTGAATGTACTCTGGCCTCGGCTTTCATTCCCAAATCTAAATCTCCGCTGTGTGTAAAATAATTCCATCCAGGAAGAATTCTAATTACTTTAATAATTATCGTCTTATCTCCAAATGGAACTCAGACATTTGCTGCAGTTTATGAATGTTAGAAATGTTTCATTTCCTTTTCACCTTGAATAACAGAAAAATACACATTACTGAATCCAGCTTCATTGAACCTTATAATTCATGTTACCATAGAAACAGAAAAACTCAATATAAGAATTGTGTTAACAGTACCATAGATAGTAAATACCTTCACTCTAACCAGCGGGATCATAAAATGATTTTAATAACAGATGTGTAAGGATTCTTTGAAATTTAATATGGTCCCTTTTAAATATTATAACCATCTTATCCAGTATGCTTACTTTTAATTTTTAAAGCAATATCTTTGCTCTTATATAAGCTTTGTGCTGATTCTAAAATATTTGCTGTGGAGTGCTGGCATAATGTTACGGGATAGAAAACTTACTTAACGTTCTTATTTAATTTTCGGTTAACACTGATGATTCATTTGAGTTTTACTTGAAGCCGAACTGTATGTTTTGGATTCATGCCAAGTTTAGAAACACAATGAATGGCATTGGATTCCTGGTGCCATCTCTGTGTGTAGCCCATACCTAGTCTCCTTTCCCCCTTTTAAGGCCACATGACAACCATGTTGCATTTCGAGTTTCAGAAATGGTTTTCCAATACATTTGTCCAGTTGTTACCACAGATATAGGGTAGTGTTTTTTTTAAGTCATTTTATCCATGTATTTCATTGTCCTTGTTTTACAGATTGCTTTTTTTGCTTTATAAACTATAGGAGATTTAAACAAAATGACTCATCTAGGAGTTATTTGGTTTTTTGTTTTGTTTTTTAACCTCTGAAAGTAGTTTTATTTCTTTCAAAGGCAGAGGGTAGTTTGAAAACTAATTGCTACTGAATATTATTCAGAATTAAACCTTCAAAGGCTGCATTTGATTAAATATCAAGTATGGTATGTTGGGTAAGTTAATTGAATGCTGTCATCTAGCTTTTGTCCAACATTTGAGAACAATTTCTACAAACAAGTAGATTCAGATTTCCATGTAGAAGAAAGAAATTGTATAGGTTTTCTTCAGTGGAAAATGACACCTATTCTTGCTTATACTATTCTTGTTCTATTTAGTCTGCAGTAATATAGTTGAGGCTTTTTAAAAGTCTACCTTTTTATTGTCACTTTCCAATGTATTGCTTTATCCTAAGTGAATATGTGGATTTGTAAATATATTCTCATTAAATCTTAACACTGGTGAATTTGATTTTTTTGATCAGGGTTTTGATCAGGAAGAAAAATGCTAGTATTCCTTTTTAACATTTCTAATAGACTGATTTATTTAGTTTTGAAAGGCACGTTGTCACAGAGAAGCAGAGAGATGGGGAGATTGGTTTTCCATTTACGGGTTCACTTCCCAAATGCCTACACAAAAGCTGGGCTGGGCCAAGGTGAAGCCAGGAGGCAGGAAGTCCATCTGGGTCTCCCCATGCCGGTGACAGGGACCCAGTACTAGCACCATGTGTGTTCCCAGGTGCATTATGAGCTGGATCTGCAACAGAGCAGCCCGGTGTGCACATGGCAGTCACACATGGGATGTAGGTGTCTCATGAGGTGGCCTCACCAGCTGTGTCATCACACCCATGCCTATGCTGCTGTCTCTCACCAAGGATGATTAACATAGGGGATTGGTTGCATAGAGCTCAATTAACTAAAGGAGCAACATGGAAGAGGGTAAATGATCAACTATGCCATGGCATGTCCTAGACTCTGGAATCTCAACCTCAGAACCTAGAAGCAAAATGTGCCATTGGACATGCAGCTCCAGTGTTACAGTCCAGAAGATTTCTGAAGACTCCAAGTCAGTAGGAATAATATCTGTTTTCATGATCTCCAAATACCAAAATAGTTGATGAAGTGGAGACAGTTTCACTTAGTGAGTTTTATTAAAGTCAAGTCACACCAAAGTGACTTTTGTCCATTTTTTAATTTGCTCACTTCCCCAAAGCAACAGCGTAATATGTCTCAGTTTATGGATCATATAAGACACTGCTTCAAAGATGACTTCAGCTTGGATGAACCTTTCTTTCTCTGTTAAACATGGACTGTCTTACCAGTTCTGAGGTTGCCTCTTGCCCGTCATCTTTTTTTTTTCTAAATATTTTTGTTAGCTCCTAAAGTATTCACAGGCATGTTTATTAATGTATTATTAAGCCCACCCCCCCCCCCAAAAAACAAGATCACAATAACCACTTCCCTCAGAAAAATGTCACATTCTATTTTGCGTAGAATATCCAGGACTTCAGACACCAATAAATAAACAGAATGACATAAAAAAGGTAGGGAAGGCAGTGTTGTCAAGCTGTTTGATTTCCTTGGCATCCCTTTCATCTTTATTCATTATAAATTTGCCTATTTGAAACTACAGTGTCCACCTGCTCATAAATGTGCTATAGGAGAGTGATCCCAGGGACTGACTTAGTGATGACGATGACGCAGTTAGAGGGCAGATGAGTGGATGGAGGGACAGACAGATGGATGCTACTCATTAAATGAACACCTGTTTACCAAAGACAAAATTTTGTATGAAATTGCCACTTACGAAATGAATTACTTTCTAGGTGAAATCTTGTCTGCTCAGTGCTCAGCATGGCTTGGCCGGTTTTTATTTATGCAATCACTTTTGACATAATGAACTTTCAGAACAAACTTCATGCTGAAGTAATGCCTTCATTAGAGATTTAAAAGCTGTTTTTCAGGTTGTACCACAGCCAGAAGGTTTACCAAATCTGGAGCATTTTAGAGTTTCTTATCTTTTATGCATAAACCAGCTCACCAAATGTCAGTGTCTTCCAAGTTCAGCGAATACAGTTTGTGCTAAAGACAAGCCCGATGGTCATATTGTGCAAGATCTCTTTCATTCAGGATGTTTTAGATTCTGATTACATTCCCCCTGTGGTTTTCCAATGGTTGACCTGTAGTGCCAGAGGCAGAGAGGGAAAGTGAGCATGCATAGGGGGCCTGAATGTGCTGGAAGGACAAATCCAGGTTCAGGGTGGCTGGTGCAGTTTGGTCCTCAGGTCTGTCAGTCTCAGGGAAGCCAAAGCCAACTGGCATCTGCCTGTTCCCTGCTGTGCACAAGCTGCTGTTCCAAATGCTGTACTTTGATTGCTTGACTTGAGCTTCCCAGGGAGGCCGGCAGAGATGTGATGTTGGCCCTGTTCCGGGGAAGGGCCTGAGGGTCTGATTAGTCAGAAAACTTGAACGAAGGTGGCTTGTAACCATGGCCCCAAAGCTTTCTTAGCCTAAATTGTGATTCCTTTCTGCTGACACTCTTGCTGCTACTTCTGTTTGAACTGTGTGCAAAGTGAACTAATGAGGGGCTGGCATAGTCTTGCAGCAGATTAAGCCACCACGTGCAATGCTGGCATCATCCCATAATGGAGTGTCAGTTTAGCAAAGCAGCAGAAAATGGCCCAAGTGACTGGGTTTATGCCACCTGCATGCTAGATCTGGAGGCAGTTCAGGTTCGTGACCTCAGCCTGTGCCAGCCCTGACTATTGCAGGCAGATGAGGAGTGACGCAGCAGAAGGGAAACCTCTTTCTTCCTGTGTATCACACTGCCTTTCACATAAATGAATCAGTCTTTTACAAAAGAATCTCATTTCTTGATGAGGGATGATATGATGAAAACCAGAATTAAGGTGGGACTGATGTTTTGGCATAGTGTCTTAAGCTGCCTCCTATGCCACTCTCCATATGGTCACAGGTCATTCATTATCCTGGCTATTCCATTTCCTATCCAGCTCCCTGCTAAAGTTCCCAGGAAAGCAGCAGAAGATGGTCATGTGATTCAATCCCTGCTTCTGTGCTCACTTCAGCCACACATATACTGAAGTCGGAACAAGACAGAAAAGATTAGCATGGCCCCTGTGCAACGATGACACACAAACTCGTGAAGTGTTCCATATTTTTAACTGAATCCCTGCTTCTGTGTGGAAAACATACATGGAGCTTCTTTCTGGGTTGGGCCTGGCCAGATCCTAGCATTCTTTTAGGGAGTGAACCAGTAAATGGAAGATAGATCAATCTTTTCTTTAACTTTGCCTTTCAAATGAACAACATGTCATTCAAAATTCTCTCAAAGATTTATTTCATTGCCAGAGCAGGGAAAGACTGAAGCCAGGAGCCAGGAACTTCTGGGCCCTGTAGGTGTGATGCTAGTGTCACAGGCTGGCCTAGCCTACCATGGCCATAACATCAGGCCCACAACAAATCTGAAAAGAAACACACAAACAAAAATGAAAGAGTCCTAGAAAGAATCAATTTAGCCAGTAGCTACTTGGGTTTGAAATTCCTCCCTGTTTAGAGCAAAAACAATAGAAAGGGCACGAATTGGATTGGCAGTTTTGAGTTCATCCTACGAGCAATAATTCGGTCACCTGTCATCAATCACACAACCTCTACAAACTGTAGTTCCTTTTCTGTAAAATTGTACTTCCAAAACACAGGCAAGCTTTACCACATTGTAGTAAGCCGAGCTAAACGGGGACTAACAGTGATTATCTGTTTTCTGTGTGCTGCAGAACATCAGTGCAGGTGGCCCTGAGTGGCGGGGATCCTTCCTGTAATGTGCGCTGGTTTGAGCACAATGCACGTGAGCGCTCCCACTCTGAATGGCGCTGCCTCAATTGTACTTTGTCAGTTGCAGGTAGAGATTGAGATACAGTCTACTTACAGATGGTTGATTAAAAAGGGGTACTGCATGGTACACAGGATTCTGTAATTAATGGTAATTGGTATCATTGCTCTAACAAGGTTATAACAGTAATAGTGAATTCATACCAAACACTGTTCTGAACAGTCTGTGCATCCATGAATGCGTTGCTTTTACCTGTGGGTACTCTGGCATCCTCTGTGTCATCCCAAGAGAATGCGTCAATTAGTGGCAGAAAATCTGAGTTATGGAAGGGCCAATTCTTGGACCACATACTCCTGTTGAAAGATGTGTGATGGACTCCCAGATCACACGAGTCCTTCTTTGTCCAAGAGACCCTTGCTGGCTTCACCACTGTTCTCCAAATGTTTCGATGCTTTATCTGTTTTTGGCTTAGATCATTTCAGATTTTTTTTTATCAGATTAAGAATCAATTTTGAACTGCTAAATTTTCTGATATATCATTGGAAATGTTGACTTCTTTCTCCTTAAACTTACCCTTTGAGTTCAGTTGGAACATCCCTTGTTGTATGGGTGTTTTGTGGGGTGTAGCACTAGGTTTTGCTCTTTTTCTAAATGATTTATTTATTTGTATTGGAAAGGCAGATTTTGAGAGAAGGAGCTGAGCTGCTCCGAAGCCAGGGACCAACAGCATCTTCCGAGTTTCCCACGTGGGAACCCACTTGGCACCCACCATGCCGCATCCCAAGGCTTTGGGCCATCCTCTACTGTTTACCCAGGCCACAAGCAGGGAGCTGGATGGGAAGTGGAGCAGCCCGGCACCCATATGGAATGCCACATTTAGAGGTGGAGGATTAGCCAGTTGAGCCATCATGTGGACCCCCTGGGTTTTACTTTGAATTCTTCAAGATTTTGTGCTCTGAATGTAATTCCTTTCAACCTTACTGCTTTGTGTTTCTTTGCCTTTGCCTTTCTTTGTCCCATTTGATTTTTTTGCTACACCCAGTCAGAAGTTCAGCTATGAAGCCCTCTCAGGAGCTGGCAGTGTGGGACAACTGTTTCACTTCTGACCCGACTGCCTGTTATTGTGTCCGTGAAGGCAGTGGAGAACGGCCCGAGTGTTTGAGCCTCGGCATCAGGTGGAAAACACAGCAAAAGTTTCTTCCTTCTGCCTGTTAGCGCCAGGCCATTGCAGCCATTTGGAGAGTGAACCAACAGAAGGAAGATTTCTGTCTATCCCTCTCCTTCTCTAACTTAGCGTCTCATATAAAATAAATCTTTAAAAAAAGGTTTCTCAGAAGAACATGTTTCTAAGAAGAACAAGAAGATTCCTGCTGTCTTCACAAAGCTTTTTTGTCTTCCCTTTTAGCAGATTTATTATTTATCATGGATATAATTTTGGAAAGAAATTGATCAAGTATAAGTGTGTGGTTTAAAGCTTTTTGATAAGTGTACCTGTGCCAACTGCCATCATGATTCAGGGTTTTTTAAATTTAAAATGTATTTATTTTTATTTATTCTCCTTACAGAAAAAAAGTAGCAAAGACAGATATTTACCCAATAGCTCACTTGCCACATGACTGTAACACCAAGCTGAGCAGATCAGAAGCCAGGTATCTCCCACGTGGCTGCAGGGTCCTATTGGGGCCAACCTGCACTGCTTTCCCAAGCTGTAAGCAGGGAGCTGGATGTGAAGTGGAGCATCCAGGACATGAACCAGTGCCCAAATGGGTGCTGGCTCTTGCAGACAGAGGATTAGCTCTTGAACCATCATGCCAGGCACACACACACACACACACACACACACACACACACACACACACACACACACGCACGCACGCACGCACGCACGCACTTCAAGTTTACAAAGCTTTTATCACATCAAAAAGTTTGTTCTTATCTTTGCAATGGGTCCCTACTCCCAGCCTCAGCCCCTGGCAACTCTGAGCTACTTTTTGAGTCTTGTAGGAAGATTTGCTTTCCTTAAATTAATTATAAAATAGTAGTCCCATGTATCTCCTTTCTTTGACTGGACAATGTGTGGGGATCTGCTTGTGTTGGTGTGTATATCAGCAGTTGGTTCTCTTTTGGTTGTAAGTCAGTTTCCATTGTTGGAATGTGCCTTGAGACATTGATCCTTTTCTGGTTGATAGACACATGGACTCTTCCAGCATAGGGTTGCTAGGGAAAGTGGTTTGTGAACATCCAGGTACACACTTCCTGTGAGATTTTATTATCATCTCTCTTGACTAGATTATGAGTAGTAGAATTGCTGCTTGACTACAGATATGTGTTGAACTTTTTAAAGAAACTGTCCAATCCTTTCCCAAAGTGAGTGCACTATGGTTTCCGTTTCTGTGAATGTTTCCCAGCATACGTTCTTTTTTCATCTTTTCCCAGTAACAGTCCATTCCACTGCCTTTTTATATGGGCTTAACTGGGATTTGCCTAACAACTGATCATGTGGAGCAACTTTTTATAGACTTATTAGCTGCTCATGTATCTTCTTTGGATACTGTGTTAGTAAAAGTCTTTAAGTCATTGCATGGTTGTATTTTTCTTTTTATTGAGTGGTGGAGTTTTTTATATGTGGTGGGAGATACAGCGTATTTAGGTAAGCTGGCAGTTGGGTACCTGCTTCCCATTTCCCAGTGCCTGAATCGCATCCTACTCACCAACCAGCTACCTGATAACGCGCTCCCTAGGAGCAGCAGAGGATGCCTGCGTGCTTCAGTCCCTGGCACCCAATTGAGAGGTCCCACAGGAGTCCTTGACTTCAGCCTCTCCCAGCTCTGGTTGTTGTCAATATTTGGAGACGAAACTAGTAGATGAAAAATACTCTCTGTTTCACACTGTCATTCCACCTTTCAAATGTATAAAAATAAGCATTTAAAAGGACTTCATTAAAGAAAAAGAGAGCTTGATATGTTTTGGAAATACATCTGTTTTTAAAATATTTTATTTTTATTGGAAAATCAGATTTACAGAGAGAAGGAGGGACAGAAAGATTTGCCATCTACTAGTTCACTTCTCAAGTGGCTAGAGCTGAGCTGATCTGCAGCCAGGAGCCTTTACCGGGTCTCCCTGTGGGTGCAGGGTCCCAAGGCTTTGGGCCATCCTCAACTGCTTTTCCAGGTTACAAGCAGGGAGCTGGATGGGAAGTGAAGCAGCTGGGACAGGAACTGGCTCCCATATGGGATCCTGGCATGTACAAGGCAAGGATTTAGCCACTAGGCCATCATGGTGACCCCAGAAATAACTCTTTAGCAGTTAAATGATTTGCAGGTATTTTCTCCCCGTGTATGGTTGATCTTTTTATTTTGTCAATGGTACCTTTTATAATAGGCTTAATGCACTAGTATATCAAGGTTTTCTGTTCTGAATTATGGTTCTAATGTTGCTGTTATGGCTAAGATATCTTTGTCTAAGTTGAGGCCACAAAGATTTGCTCCCATATTCTCTTCCAGACATTTAATAATTCCAGTTCTTAAGTCTGTGATACAATTGAAAATTTTTTAATAGTCTAAGGTAAAGGTGAAATAAATTTATGTTTTCATGTGCTATCCAGTTGTTATGGCAACATTGAAAGCAATTTGTCTCCTGCCTTCAATGAATTGGCTGGACAATTTTATTAACTGGTTAGCCATAAATGTAGAAAATTAGTTTGGACTATATTATTTGATTTAATTATTCTGATGTCGCATGGTATTGATTATTGTACCTTTATGCTAAAATAGTATTTTTTTTAAAGATTTGATACATTTTTTTAAAAAAATTTGTGATTTTTTTCATGAGAAGTGACAGAAACAGCATAAGATCTTCCATGTGCTGAGTTACCTCCTGAAGACCAACTACACATGCTAAGTCTGGGCCAGGCCGAGATCTGGTCTCCCTCGTGATAGGTAATGACCTAAGTGCTTAAGTCATGTTCTGCTGTCGTGCCAGGCACACTGGCCAGAAGCTGGAGCAGAAGTGGAGCAGCCGGGACTTGAACCGACATTCTCAGGACAGAAAGCTGACATCACCAGCAATGGTTTCAGATGCAATGCCAAAGCACTGGCCCCCATACCATTTTTTTTTTTTAATTGGGAAGGCAGATTTACAGAGAGAAAGAGAGATGGAGAGAAAAATCTGAAATCCATTTGTTTATTCCCAAATGGCCACAACAGCCACAAGTGAGCTGACCTGAAGCCAGGAGCCTTGAGCCAGTTCCTGGTCTCCCACAGGGGTGCTGGATCCCAGGTATGTGGGCTATCCACCACTGCTTCCCAGGCCTTAAAGCAGAGAGCTGGGTAGA